TAGGTTTAAAAAGGATTGTTCTTTGTTAATCAAAAGATACATCTTATTTTTTTGGTACAAAATAAAATATTTAAAAATAGCATCTGATATATATATATATATATATATATATATATATATATATATTTGCTCAATAAGTATTTTTGAAATTAAATCTTAATAAAAACATACTCCAACGAGCTAAGCAATGATTAAAAATACATGTTGACATAAAATATTTGAGATTCTTATAATCCGTATATATAATGATAGGATTAAAAGCACCTTCTAAATAATAATGCTATTATTGAAATGAATGTATAATTGCAAGAAGTTTTTTTTTGTAGATCTTGTAGTTTTTTTTTGTTGCTGAAAATTTCTTAGAATAAAAAGTTATTGGATAGAATTTGGCATTTACCCCTATTTCTAACAAAATACATCCAAAAAAAAAGTCTAATATATTTTTTTCTATAAAAATTGCTTTGGAGAAGTCAATACAATGTAAGATTGATATAGAAGTAAATGATATCTTCAAAGCTTCAAACAATGTTTCAACTTCTCTGCTCTACTTAAATTTGTCTTTACAATTCAAACATATAAATATAAATGCAATTTGAGAAAATTTCTTGATAAAGATCCAATAATAATCTGCAAATCTTAAAAAATATTATATGTCTTTTATTGTTCTTGAAATCTTCCAATTTATGATAGTTTGGACCTTCATAGGATCTATCATAAGTCCATTATTTGAAAAAATGTATCTTAAGAAGTCAACTTAAATAATATAAAATACATACTTTTCTATCTTGGCATATAATCTTATATGTATAAGTTTTTATAATACACGACAAACATATAATTCATGCTCTTTTATGTTCTTAGAATAGATTAAAATATTGTCTAAATAATAGACAACAAAATCATTAAGATATTCACAAAAAATATCATTCATAAGATGTTCAAAAATATTTGGTACATTTGTAAGTCCAAAAAACATGATATTATATTCAAAATATCTATACTTAGTACAAAATGTAATCTTCTATTCATCTAATTTTTTTGATATGGACTAAGTTGTATGTTCTTCATAGATTTATTTTTATATAGATTTATACTTGATTGAGTCAATCAAGAAGTCATAAAATTAGAATTAAAGGATATCAATTCTTGATAATTATATTATTTTAAGTTACAATAATCCTAAAATAACAAAATTAAAAGAAGATCTAATGACATTAAATATTATTAAGTTATTATATTCTTTAGTTGCTACATTTAAAAGAATAATTTCATGAATATCATTTTTAGAGGATAATAAATGACCATCTATGATCTTTATATGCATGGATTTATTTTTTTTAACAAAAGATATTTTTATTTTTTAATAAAATCTTCATCTATAAAAATAAGTTGAGGCTCTTAAATCTAATAACACAAAGGCTTTGTAATTTTTTAGTCCTAAATAAACTTCTATCATAAATAAGGTGAAGAATCTAAAGAAAGAATAGGATTTTTATTGGGTATTATATAAGATCATAGCTGCACAATTTCTATTATAGTTGGAAAAACTTATTTTTTGATATATTATCCTCTTTGGCAACCATGCTCTTTATTTTGTAATTACATTGCTATTGGACAATATTTAGAAGTGTGCTTTGATTCTCTATAATATAAGCACAAACCTTTTTGAAGACGTTAAGTCTATTTTTATTCAATAAGAGGCTTAAAACTTATCATGTTAATTTGCATAGGTTTCAACCTTGATGAATAAGATTCTAACTTAGAAGTTGCCACCATGACTTAACTTATACCTCTCCAACCAAACCTTTGTTCTTAATATCTTTCAAAGAGTAGATTGTCGTATGTGATGGCTTAAGCAATAAATTGCTCTAATGAATCTGTTCTTGATATTGTTAACAATAAATCTACGATATTTTCTTTCAATCCATATTAAAATTGATTGATAAGGGCTTTGTCATTTGAATCCACATTACAAGTAGGATTTTGGAATTCAGCATCATATATGATGGCGAAATATGATCCTTACTGTAAAGATAGGAATTTAGTCTCTACTATCTTTTCTTAATCACTTTCTCTAAATGTGGCCATAAACACTTCTAAGAATGAATTTAAATCATAAAAGAGTCTTAAATTCTTTTCTATCAAAGATGCAAATTAAGAAAAAATATTTTTAGATAAAAGTACATATATTAATTCAACTTAAATAAATCCATCAGGGTATTTGGGAAGGATGCAACCTTAGATAGAGCTTCACTTGTTGTAGAAATCCTTGGCACTTTGATCTTCTTCTATCAAACTTCTCTGACATACTTATCCTTATATTCTTCATATTATAGTAGCAAGAATTTTTGAATTGAGTTATAAACTTGATTTACTTACTTCTTTTAATCACACAACTTTTTGGTATAGACTTTAAACCTCATTATTCACTTCTTTTATAGATGTAGGAATAATATTTCTATGATAGATTTTAGAAATACATGAAATTTCCATCCTAAAAGTATTAACAAGCTTGTGAAGATTTGCAATAATTAAAAATCTATTTTCACTTCCGCTAAGAGTAGCATCCATAATTTTTCCTTCCACAGATAGCTTGAACAAATCCATAAGTCAAATTAAAAAAAAGTAATGCACAAACTCTTATACCAAATAAAAGTTTCCACCAAGATAAGTATTTAACTTTCTTTAAAGAAAAAATCATTGTTAGAAAACAAAAATCATAATAAATAAAACTTCTAATAAAGACAATTTCCTTAGATAGAGAAGAAATATCATCCTATTAGAATTAGATGTAATTTTTAATATAGGTTCTAAACTTATATAAAATTTCTATATTTTATTGATATTATTCAAATTATATACTACATTTGTTGTTGTCGCATGTAGAATAACTTCATTTGTGAGTAATGGTCCAAATTCAAGTAAAGTATCTATCATAGTAAGTATATTAGATTTATATTGAAGTCTCAAAGCTTCTTTTTTGGCCTCTCTTCTCATGTTTCAAACTTAAATAAATTTATTGGTATCAATATACTAATTTGAAATATAAAGTGTAAATAGGACATATCTTGAATTTGTTGTATCTTCTTTGCCAAATCAATAGAGTTAATATGTTATAATACATGATCTTATCAACAATTAGAAGAGAATATCTTTTACATAGTCTTAAGTTTAGCCAAAGTGATACAATTCTTTATGCAATGGTTAATTTCTAAGAAAATCAACATTAAATAAGTGGGTTTAGATAGTCATTATATATATATATATATATATATATATATATATATGTATATATACACACATATATAGATTTTTTATTTTTTTATTTTTTTATTTTTTTGACACAATTATTCATGTTGATTTTGAATTTTCAACTATATTGAAAATTTGTAGTTCCTTCAAAATCTTATTGTCTAGTCTATAACCCAGTATATGCCCTAGCTTAGTTGCAACCTACAAAGCAGCTGAAAGAAACTCTTTTTGCACCTCTTTTAGAACAACCCAAGTTAGAATTTTAAAAGAGCTTGAGTATGTAAAATGTTTTAGATTCTAAATAGTTTTTGGATCAAAGTTTGAATTCCACAATTGAAATGTGAAAAAATCCAATTTTGGATCTATGAGGTGATTGGATTAGAACATATTAATGATTTCTTTGGAAGAAGATTTCAAATAGATGTAGCTCCAACTAATATTTTTGCCAAAAAAAAGAGAACATCTAGTTAATAATTCAAGACCTTTCTATGCACTAATGCCAATATCATTCAATTTTTTGCCCATAAAACAAATAATAATTGTGCTTCAACATAGTTTATCCATCTCTTTTTATACAAGATCTTAATCTACATCAATTTCTTGAGGTTTAGTGTATAAGAGCAACTTGCATAACTTCTGGAGAACCTTAAGGATAAAGACACACATAGGGTGTGTTGAATTGGATGAGGTTGGCCATTTTGACGATGTATATCAAAAGCTGCTATCATGTCTTTTTTCTTGTGGAGATCCATTGGTAAATTTAAAGCTTAAGAATAAATCACAATATCTCCATTTAATTGTGACGACCTTGTAAAGCCAGCATTGCTCTTAAGGCACTTCTTGTCCAACAACATATTTAAAACTTGCCTCCAAACTCCAAATCTTGAAGGAAAAAAAAAAAAAAAAAAAAAAAAAAAACTACCTTACAACACTTAGAAGAATTTCAAATTGAAATACTTTTGAAGAAAGTTGTCAAGATTCAATTTAAATAAATATCTGAATTATATGAATCAATCTTAACTGTTAGATCTGTAAAATGAGAAAAATATTTGACAATAATAATATAAAAAATAGCTCAGGAGTATCAAAGTCTGATTGACAAAAATATAAGTATCATGATAATTTTATTAATAGTAAATAAATACGTCACTTGCTAATAAAGAATAATGCCAATACTTTGATTAGTCTTGAAGATGACTATCGTAAATTGAATTCTTTTTTTGAATTGTACACTTCTTTTAACCTATTATGATGCCAAGCAAAAATTTGAAGGCATGGTACAAAAATGTTGATCAATTAATTTTTTTGGTACTTATAAAGATATCCTTAGTTGAGGCATGCAAAGTTTTTGATTGAAGTTTCCATAATTTTAAGTCTTGTATGAATCAATTTAGGGCTAATTGTGTGGTGTGAAGAATTATTAGCTGATTTACATGCCTATGCTGCAGAGTTCTTGAACATGCAATAATCCATATTGTTGGGTCTTGAGGTATTGGCGAAGCAATAATCACAATTAACATGATCTTTTTAAAATAGTAATTTTGTGGTGTGTTGAACAAAAAAGAACTATTAAATTCTCTCAACATTAATTAACCAAAAGAGTGGCAAGATGAACGAAGATATGAAGAAAACTCCTTAAATTGTTCATGGAAAGGGTACCAATTGGGAACATTAGCTTTTACACCAATATCTTTGTCAACAAGTCTCACATACAAACACAAATCACACTGACCATGAGCAGAGAAGAATTCAGAAACGGTGGCTAAATCATTTAAGCTCGTATTGATCTCTTCTTGACTCGCATCTTTTACAACTCTCGACTTCAGAAACTACAACGTGGAAGACAAAACGGGTACAAAGAATCTGTGAAACTACCAAGCTCAAAAACCTTTCGTTGGAGCCTGTAAAAATTCTCTCACAAGAGGCTTGTCAGCTCCACTCCAGGAGGTTATGCTGGTCTGCATGCTCTACTTGAGATTCAAATATGTATGTGAATTAAGCTGATGTACACAGACGAGAACCAACACTGCTTGGTTTGAGATATGCTAACTGCAGGCACTCCTCCCTTGCATGGACGTCCTCTGAAGAAGGATTATGTGAACAAGGTCCATCTTCACCACGGTTCAGGTCTTCACATACTTGTCCACGTAACCCTGTAACCACATGATAAGCCCCAATGTTCTTAGTCTCCAACATGCTGGAGGAGCAAGTTCTAACTTGATTCCAAATATAAAAAATTGACAATTACTGTGAGCAGATAACATTGGCAAACCTGAACAAGTTTTGAGATCTTTGGTCTGGCAATCATCATATAAGCCTCCACCTTCTCCTCAGTAGTGGGAACCTGATGTGGCTTAATAGCGCTCAAAACCTTATCAACAGCTTTCTTGGCAATCGTCTTGAAGGCCTCTTTGCTCATCTGTCCCTCTCGCCACGTCGGCTTCAGTGTCTCTTTCACATGCTCTGCCACTGCTGTTCTAAGAAAGGTCATACCTTTAACTTTGTGATCTTTGTCACTTTTATGATCTTTATCCCGCCTATCCCTCTTGTCTCCTCTTTTATCATCTTTGTTGGTGTCACCCCCGCCACCTGGACTCCAGTTCTGTGGTTCTTCTGGGGCTGGACTCACACTCTCAAGACCTGCCACATTTGGGTTGTCCTGCTGTGATGAACCAAAGGTTGACGCTCCCGTTCCTTGCGTAGGTACTGTCGAAGTATTGCTTGCATATGCAACGAGAGCAGGACTTACACTCTCCATCACCAACCCTGGACCAGGGCCCGGGCTTAAATTCTCCATGCGATGGTGACCAGGCAAGCCTGGACTAACACTTTCTAGTACGACATCATCCATGTGTGTACTGGTCCCGTTTCCACCACTGCTTTTCCATTGTCCCATGTTAGGCCTAGATACAACAGCAGTATTGTCTTGTCCCCCTTTTACCCCAGCGTCTCGTGCACCAGGGGGTCCTAGCTCAGGACGATCCATTGCCATCACATTAAATTGTCCTCCAGGTTGAGCTGCTTGAGATTGTTGTGGCAACTGGTACCGAGATAAAGTACTTGTGTATGCCGCTGAAGGAGGGGGAGGAGGGGGTGGAAGTCCATAATTCGACTGTGCTCCTGACGCCTGGAACATTAAGCACCAACTCTAACGTTACGAAGTCGTTCCTGGACATGTGCCAAACAATATGCGCAAGAAGAGTGTACTGATACTGAAGATATATTGATAGGGGCAAGCAATAAAGGATGATGTATAAATTACGAACACGCCTATTAGATGGTATGCATCGATATTCTACCTGGATAGACTGCCCATTATAGGCGATGGATGCTGGTGCCGCTGTTGGTGTGGACTGCCATGTATAGCTTGACCTGGACGTAGGAGCCATGGATTGTCCCCCAACCTGAGAAGGACCTGTCGATACTGCTGGTCTCATAGGAAGATTAGCAATACCGCTAGAAACTTGAGGTGGCAGAGCTGGTTGCGGTGCTCCACTATTTCCATAAGATGGTTGAGGCATCGATAGATTCTCACTTTGGTTCATCAGAGGAGGTGGAGGAGGGGGTGGCAAGTTGAACCCAGACTGAGAAGGAAGATAGCCCATGTAGGATTGCTGTGGAGGTACGGAAGATGACGAAAACCCTTGGGAATGATGCGGTAGCGGTGGGGGTGGCGGAAGCTGAGCCAAAGAGGGCAAGCCATCAGGGCCTCCAGAAAATGGTGCATGAGTTTCAACTGCAAAACTACCTGATTCCACGCTATTTGTGGCATTTGCGTCTTGGTAGGACCTGTCTTTGGACCTCTCATTATTCCTTCTTTCACTTAGTTTAGCCTCATCCCCATAGTCACTTACTGGCGAGGTTTCAGGTTGTTCTCGTGCAAAATCCTCCATGGATTTACGCAATTCTTTATTGTAACATTTCTCTTTCTGATCAGTAGGCTCCCACCCTCTGCGTCCACGTGGATTTTGTTCATTCCAGCCAGACCTGCTACTGCCACCACCATGGCTCCGACCGCTGTCGTGACTTTCCTGGCGATCGTCTAGTCTACTCCCTCGTCCTCCACGACCTCCACCCCTATCATATCGCCCTTCAGTACTAGGATCATTGGTAGATTCTGTATGCGCAAATCGACAAACATTGCCTCTTTTGCAACGCCCTCTGGCGAAATCAAGACATACAGGAGGACCTCCACCGCGGTCACCCCTTCCACCTCTCCTTCCACCGCGATCATTGCGATCTTGGTTTCCCCGTTCCCGACCTCTTGCACTGTCACCTCCGCGACGCGTTTCCCGGCCAGGTGACTTACTCCAGCTCCGTCTCCGTCTTGGTGAGCGGCTGAAAACAAGTGAGGTACACAAACAATTTTAAAAAGAAATACTACAGAAAAAAGCTTGCATACACTTCGAATACTTGAGTCACATTGGGACTTGGAAACATGCTAAAACTGCGCTCTTAACTGCCTAGCTCTGTGCTTCTTAAGGAAAAGAGTTCACATACAATATATGCCTCAGAAAACCAGCCAGCCCTATACAAGACGACAAGAATCATCAGAGATAATGGTGCGATTGTGAATACAGGAAGATAGAAACTGGGAAATGGTGATAGCGTGATTGCATTGGTTTAAGGCATCTCTGCAATAAACAATACAACAAAATTGCAAAAACTAATTAATGACTTTGCAGAAAACTGGATAAAGATAGGTGATTCTATGAACCTGCGTGAATGACTCCGCCTACTGTGCCGTCGAGGAGAACTACTCCGACTCCGACGTCGTCTCCGATTATCTGGTGGGGACCTGCTCCGACTTCTACTGGCATGCCTTCTTTTCCTATCGTAATGTGAGTCCTCAGCATCACTTTCGCTTCCCCCGGGCCGTATAAACCTACCAAACTCATCAACCGTTGGTCCTTTATTACCAGGGTCCAGTTCAGAAACACCTTTTTGTTGTTTCGATGCTCTGGGAGGCTCATCCTGGATTCTTGACTCCTCCAACGTTGTAGAGTCCCTGGATTTCCTATCATCTGAGACCCTCATTTTCCTGTTCTCTAACCTCAATGAAGAATCCTTGGGCTGATCTCTGTCTGGCATCGTTGAATATTCAGTTGTTTTCCTGTCCTCCGATTTGGTTGATGCATCCTCCAATTGAGAATTCTTATCACCTTCCCTTTTATGCTCACTATCATTATCCCTTGGAGGAGTAACAGCTTCCAACCTGTCCTCCACTCCTGACCTATCAACAACATTTACGTGTGGTATTTCAGAACCTTGGTCAGAATTCTTGTTTGATGCGTCAACTGAAGGGGAGACCTTTCGTGACGAATCATACCCAAGAGATCGATCTTGGGGGCCCCAGCGAGAGACACGAGAAGAGCTTCTACTTCCATGTCCTTGACCAGCTGCTTCTAATTCTTGCGACTTTGCTTGCACAGGAGGACTGGATACTGGGGTCACATCTTCCATGCAAGATCTGTCAAATCCCGTCCGACGCCTCGTATCTACAGAGAGCAAGATTTCAAAAGAACAAAAACGAAACAAGAAGTTAGACAAAGGAAAGACGGCCACATTACAAGACAATCCTCATGACTGCAGTATTACAGATTACAGTAAAACAGAAGACAGGAGACAGTTTGCTAGATATTACAAATCTATTTAAATATGTGGGTTGATCGATAGCTGACATAATGGAGACTTAAGATTTACAAAATTGAGAATGCGTTTAAGGACTCCAAGTTGTCACAACTTTACCTTTCCTTTTTGGTAAATCATCGCGGGCACTGTTTGACTGGGGTCTGCTAGAGACTCCCACCGAAGAAGACACTTGGGGAGGAGCTACAGAAGCTGTGGTAGAACTGCTCTGATAAGTCACAGTTAGGGGGATGGGTACCCTAGGATTCTGTGCACCTTGTGGTTTAGCATTGGTCTCCATCTTGGATGATAATACTGGTTCCTTCTTTGCAGGTAGACTAGATACTGGTTCTTGAACTTGCTCACATCTGATTTCTGTTGATTGCGAAGGTTTCTCAAAATCATCTGCATCAAATTAAGGCATGAAAAACATGACTGAGATTTTAAATAAACAAAATGTAAAAAAAATATAAACAAAACATTAAGTTCCTTAAATCAAAAGCAAGTCCTCTGTTTTCTGCATCACCACAAAATTACTGTTGACGATAAGGGATCATGCGCAAACTAACAAAGAAATATCTATTTCCTCCTTCATGATTTTCGATTTTTTAACTCTAAAAATCAATCAATCAATCAAAAAAGTGGAGAAAAGAAAGAACTTCTAATCAACCATGACACAAGATCTATGCTCAGTACCCAGACATAGGATGAGCACGAATACCTTCCATATCCATGTCAGATCCGTGAGGAGAATGAGGAGTGTCAGGAAGAGGACTAGGAGGAAATACTTCTGGTTCATTATTTGATCGAGGCTGAACAAAAGGATCTGCAGGTAAGTTGGCTGCGGCTATCAAAGATCTTTTTTTCCACTCATAGTAAGCCTTCCCAATTGCAGCCTCTGAGCCTGGTACACCTCCAAAGAGGAAAGCAAACTTGGGATCATCAGCCTGCTTGTGGCGCGCCATATCCTCGAATTGGGGTCCATTCTTCACCACAAAACCCGATAAGATATCGATGTTCTTCAACATATCCGAATCTTGTGGCGCCAATGGCGGCTCTTCCACAGCTCGCCATTCTGCAACTATTGGTGTTGATGAGGGCATGCGATCAGTTGGTGCGTCTCCCGCATGATGGGAAGGCGGTGGTCCAGCTCCACGTTGAGGGCCGGGATAACCAGGATACTGTCCAGAAAAATGTTGCAAGTGTTCAGGGAAAGGACCAGGAGAACCCCCTCTTCCGTGCATGGCAAATGGAGGCCCAGATTGACTTGGGTTTGACACCAAGGTCCGCGATGGACCAGGAGATGATGATTGTGCTGTGCCTTGGAGGGACACTAGTCCCAACCCAGGACGTAACATTAACACTCTTACAGAAAAAGCTCAACTGAATAGCTCTTTATTATCTAAAGAATCATGAGAAACTGATCTCATGGGTGCGGTGGCTCATCGCATGAGGTTGCTTTCCATTCTCCTAGACCAAGAACAGCAAAGCTGTACACGATGGATGCAACACGTCAAATGTATTCACCAATTGACATTAGGAAAAAATCCTACCTTGCAACAGAACTTATCATACCACAGACATCATTCTATGTACTAATCTCGAGCTCAAAATAAAAGTGCTCCAAAAATTAGGTACTAAACAAGCAGCTGTATTTTATACCACCTAAAGAATATTAAATACAAAAGGGCTTACAAATTGCGAAATAAATACATAAAACTGCATTCCATCACCTAAGTTACATCCCGTAAAATTAAATTAAAACACAACAGGAAATCATGTAACTTTAGGTGTCAGTAGAATCGCTTCAACACATTCTTCGAATAAAATTTTAGAAATTCAGAAACGTTACCTTTGTAATCTACTCTGGGCTGTGTGCGTCGAGTTTTTCATTGATCGAAGGATCCTTTGTCAAACACACGAGTGCTGCAATCAGAAAACCAACAGCGGGTTATTGGTACTCCTAAACTACATCACAACAAACTGCCAAGCATATTATAACAGAATACATTCAGTCATTTGCCATTCACACACCATCCTGCTAGGTTAACAGTGCAAGTCCCAACAGGATGATAGAACAGCCTTTCTTTCCAGAATGCATTATAAATTAAACCCAGGTGCTTCTTCTGTAAGATGAAAGAAAGAACAACAGATCCATCTGCAAACCAGGATGGCTCAATAGAACGATGCTCACATTGTTAAGATTATTCATCAAGGCCGCTCACAAATGGTTGACGCATCCGAATACACAGTGTGGCACCGACTTTGCCCTCATAATCATGAGTTGAGGTCATTTTTCTAGCACCAACAACCAGATGATGCCAATATGTCAGCACGTCCCTAAAAAATCAGCCTGCTTGTTTGAGGGAAAACCGAACGAAAGGAAGAACAAATTGATCGACTCTTATCCACCAAAGTGACCCAAGACTAACATTTGGGCATGCTACCGATTGCAGCGCAAAAAGGGCACGAGTAGAAAGAAATTGAGTCAATTTCTACATGATTCACAGTTACAAACGTACACCAGCCTCTATCCCGCAAAATCCTTTTCAAAGCAGGTGTTGAACAAGGCTTCCTGTGAGAAACCTCGTCCATAATGTGCACATGAAGAAGGAACCCTAGTCCTCTACAAACGTCCAGTAACCCTCAGAATCCCATTATTGAAGTGACCCACTGGGATAGCAGTATCGCAACACACTCTTACACCTTAGATGAGCCCACAAATCGGAATTGACCCTAACACGGAAACACGGGTCCAAGTCGAATACGTTTCCTCAGAGCCCGAGAGAAAATAGTCGGAGTGACGACCCTAAAGCCTGAGAGAATATAGCGGCAGAAATATCCTCAGACACAATGGCGAATAAAATAACGTCTTCAAAAACCGATGAGCTGGTGAGAAATTATAAAAAAAACATGGCTTCTCGAAGAACATCTAGCAAAAACCAGCAGAAGACGAGGACTCAGAGATTAAAAAAAATATCGATTCTCCTCTAACCACGAGTGGCAGCACGAGTAAGAAGGTCAACCAGACGCCTGCGCCCCACAGAGGTAATCGACAATCCGTACAACTGCGCCAATGCAACAACCATCAATACCGGGAAGCCTACCTGGGTACAGTAAACAACCAGCTTCACATTCTAATCTCCACTCTTGCGCACTACAGAACCTACATTCATCGCAACCAAGTACGAATTCGCAAATCGAACCGCAGCTATTCCAGAACATGGAAACATCCAATCAGTTGAATGCACGCTGCATCGTAGGGGAGGATTCCGCCCCGACACCCAGAGACCATGACAAAACCCTCACGTAAAGATATCATACTACAGTCGGAATCTCATCCACCAACCTGAATACTATGGCGCCGCGGTTGAAGAAACCGCAGCGATCCATGAGGCAGCATCTGGAATGGACCAAGTGTACATGATTCTGCCGAACATGGACACCGCCAATACTCGGGGATCAGACCTAAACCTCCAAAAAACTTTCCCACGCGAGAGCCCAACCTCGACAGGGGCTCCAGACAGAGCCCTCTAACGACGACGACGACAACTCACGCCGCGCTCGACCGGAAGATGCAGCTCTGCTATTCAGTGCAGACGTCGAACCGACCGCTGGACGCTCCATCAGCCTCAAGCAACAGGGGTAGTGGACGAAGCGAACGGAGCCTGTTCACACGAGAAATCGCCCCCACTGCACAGATCCCCGGCGCACTGTGGACACAAATCTATGTGATTTATTTCTTTTCTTATTTTATTTCTATTCTTTTCTTTTCACATATTGTATACAGGGTGATTTTGTAATTTTGAAAATCTCATAAAATATAGAATTTTCAAAGATTTTAAACATGCCATTAGAATCAAAAGCATCACACATAGACTCAAAATTTTAAAAAGACAAAGCTCAAAAAAGTCAACAAAAAAAGCACCAAGTTAAAGGCCTTATATCTAAAAATTGAAAAAGTTGTAGAATATTCTAAGTCCACCACTAGATTTTTAGACTCCAAAAATTAGGGGTAGATCAAATTTAAACTTTTAAATCCTTCTTATTTGTAAAGTTAGCTCAAATTTTAAAATGGTCAAATCTTTGATATATACAAATCTACATAGTTTTAAAATAATTAAATGACATATTTAAAATGGGCAACCCTCAAATGGAATCTATGGTATTTTCAAATCTCTTAAAAATTCTTCTATTAAAAAATTTAAAACTCTAAAGCCCAAATCAAAGTTATTATATCTTATAAACAAAAAAACTTTTAAAACATGTTATTTAAACTATTGAAATTGTAGACAACAAAAAAATGGAGGAATAGCTCAAATCAAAATTAAAAAATAAAGAAATAAAAACATTGGTATTGTGTTGTAATACAACTATAAGTTGAAAGAAAAAATATGTATTATATTATAGAAGAACTTAATTTAAAAAATAGATAGTAAAAAAATATAGATAAAAAATAGGAAGATAGTAAAAAAAATACATAAAAAATTAGTCTTAATATTGCATTTTTGTAAAAAGAACTTTTGTTGTCTTTATAGAAATATAAATAAAAAAAAATCAAAATGGATTTTTTTAAAATGATATTATTAGCATCTTTAGATAGAAATAAACAATAGCTTTTACCAAGAAATACTTAAAAAAACCAAATACTAATTCTTAGAGAGGACCATTCATGAATTTGGATCAAAATTAAACTCTAAGGCACAAAATTGTGCAACTATAATAACTACTAGGTTCTTTTATTGATTGAAAAGCAAGGTTAAAAAAAAAGACTTTTAAAAGTTTGTATGAATGTTGGTTTTGTGTGATTTGGATTCTAATTGATTTATAAGAGTTTTACAAAGTCAAAGGTGCTTTAGATGATTTGAAATTTGGAAAATTTAATAAATAATTTATATATTTTATTCTAAATATTAGTAAAGATTTCTTTGATCTTGAATAATATTTTGGTAAAATTGAAATAATTGTTTTTTAAGTGGATAGTAAACTTAGTTTGCAACATCTTTGCCAATTTTAAAGATAAGTAAACAGTTCAATAAGGAGCCATTGCTATTAGTAAATTGACTTTATTAAGGTTTAAAGATTTTCTTACGATTTGATTAGAATTTACTTATAATTTTTGTAAGATTTTTCTAAGGTTTCTTTATAATTTTTTTAGGTTTTTTTTATTTTAGGACCTTTTAATGATTTCTTTAAAATTTTATTAAGGTCTAATTGAGATTGTTAAGATTCAGTTGGGATATATTTAGGATTTTATTAGGATTGTTAGGTTCTTTTTTTTGTTGCAAAATTTAAGTTTATCTTCCACAACTAAGTCCTAGATGCATTCGTCAGAAAGACAATATATAATACAACATTAGAAACATCCATGTAATTCTATATACTTAACTTTTTAAATTCTAAATTTTAAATAAATTAATCAAAAAACCATAAACGCATATATAATCCTAAACTAATAAATTCTAAATCTTAATTCTAATAATTATATAAAAAATATCACTATTAAAAAATATATATAATGAACTATCTATTGTAATTGCATTTAAAACACGTTAAGACTCCAATTTGTTAACTTATTGCTTAAAAAATCTCTTTTAACTTATAAAATCTTTTAAATCATAATAAACACTTAGATCAGAAAATAAAATTTTAGTATTTTAGTATTTTAACAACTAAATAATATTAAAAGTTTCTTTTTAATAATTCTATTAATTAAGATGCATTAGTAGAATTAACAATAGTCAAGTGAAAATTAAAAAATAAAGATGTCAAAAAATCAAGCACATCTATATAATCTATAAATTACTATATTTTGTACATATCTTCTCAAGAATTAATTTTACATTTCTCACTAACTTGTCAATATATTATCTATTGATTTTTAACCTATTTTTAAAGATATATTTTTAAAAATTGATTGATCATTTCTTTTAACAATGATATCAAGTTTAAACATCTATCTCATATCAAAGGTAGTTAAAGATGTGAGGTTGTCCATTTTATTTGGAAATAATGACAAGCTTAAGCACCTACTTATATCAAAGGTAGTTAAAGATGCTTTAGAATGTTTCACCTTGTTGTAGTGTGTGCAAAACTTTGAGCCAAGAAGATCTAATATAAAGCTACCATGAAAAGTAGAATACATCAAATCAACAATTCAAAATATGATAATGAATTTTTCTCCTCTTTTTCTTTCTTTTAGCAAAGAAATGAGAGAGATGATGCACACATTACCAAGTGTCATAATAACATGCTTACTACTTAGAAGAAATTAAATCAATCCCTCTTCAGTCACATACATAAAGATTTTTTTCATTCTTATGAATCTTTTCTAATCTTTCTCCAAACTTTATTGATAATTGATTACTATTCTATTAGGAAATTTTTAGGATATTTTTGGCATCAACTAAGATCTTTTAAGGAATTTTAGATTGTTTCTTTATGGTTTTTTGAAAATATCTTTAGAATTCATTAGAATTTTTTCAGGTTTTTTTATAATTAATTAAGATTTAATTAGGATTTAATTAGGATTATTAAAAAATATAAAATGTTTATTTGGAATTGATTAAAATGTGATAACATATTTCTAGAATTATTTTAAGATTGTTAAGTTATATTTAGCATAAATAGAAGCATATTAATATTGTTCAATATTGCCAAAAGGATATTTCCAAACATCATAAGCATTTTTTTTGGATTTTGAATCCAACTTGAAAGTAAGATCAAATTCTTCCATAGTCAAATGCCTAGTGCATTATTAGACTAATTTTTACATAACATGATATTATAGTAATTTCAACCATCTTATTTTGAAAGCAAATTTTGTGCAATTTGTATGCTAGGTCGCAATAAGAGTTTTTGCAAGTGAAGTATTGTAAAGTATAGATTCTAAAAATTATAAATATTATTAAGTTTGAAGCCTAATTGATTTTTTTGGAAATTTATGAAGTAAAAAGAGTTTGTTGCCTTCAAATCAAAGTATGGCTATGGTTAATAGATTCTATTTTAATTCTTATTTATTTTATAATTATTATTTATAATCTTGTATTTTAATCCTTAAATTTATTTTAATTTAATATTTGAATTTTAATTTATTTTAATTTAATTTTAATTTTAATTTTTACTTATATTATATTATACTAATATTTTATTTTAATCTATAATTTTAATTTATTTCAATTAAAAAATATATACTTTCTTAATTTTATTTATTATATTATTTCATTTTACATTCATATTTATTTTTAAATTATAATATAAATCAAATTGTTATTTTTTTATATATATTAAAATTTATGTTATTTATTTTAATTAATATGAAATTATTATATTATTAGTATTAATATTATTTGATTCTATATGTAGATTATTTATCTTTTTAAGAAAAATAAAGAAAAAGGTTGAAATATGATATCAAAATATAAATGAATAACCTCAATAAGTATCAAACTTTAGCTTGAAAATTTTATATTTTATATATTAAACAAAATCAAGAAAAGAGCATGGTTTAATAAAATTAGGTGGATTCTAAATTTTAGTTCTTTAAATTTATTTGAAAATTTTGATAAAATTTAGAAAAGAACTCAATAAGACTTGTTGTCTTTAAGAAAAGAACTCAATAAGACTTGTTGTCTTTAATATAATTACTTAATTATTCTATTATCTTGTCATATAATTAAATATTAAAAATAAATATTATTAAAAAATAAATATATATAATATTAGAAATCTAATTTTTTATATTTTAAACCATCTAATAGATCTTTTGCCTTAAATAATTTACTTAGAAATTATATATATTTTTTATATGCTAATTAAACTTAAATCTAAAGTAGCTTACCTTATTAAAGGCCATATTTTGCAATCTAGATGTATTTTATAAATCAAAGAATTATTGAAAACATGTTTTTTAAAAACAACTTTTGAGAGGAAGTTTGTAATAATATGCTACAAGCTTCTAGTAGGATGGAGCATAGCAAAAGGCATCCTTCAAAACCTCAAGTAAATCTTATACCTTTATCAATTCTAAGAACTAATGTATCTAATAGGAATAATCAAAATCTACCTATAGACATCCAAATTGATTCTATAATTTTACTTAAAGAATTACTTATTGTTGTACCTTCAAGATTGTAAGGATCATCAATTCCTTCCAATCTCAAATGGTTTAATAGACCTTTTGATGAAAACCTAGCAGTTCACATAAAATGATTTATAGAAGTTTAAACTACTTGTTTAGTGACCAACCATAGATACTACTTGATATAATTTCCAACAACCTTAATAGATTTTGTATATACATGGTATAAATTTTATGTACAGAGGTCATTTA